ACTGGAGGATCCTGACATCGGTTGCTGATGTATTAGACAAAATTGCTACTGTTGTACTGGGAATAACAGCAGAGGTGACAGTAGCATCCAGTAGCTGGTAAAAACAAAGACATGAATGACATGACCTACTGAAATCTTAGACAGACAGAAAGGACTTTTCAGCGCTCTCAGCCCTTGTTTAGGGCTTTCTAAGGGTACAGACTGCAGCCTTGCTGCTAATTGGCCAGATGACAGCATGGAGCAGAGCACTCTCCACAATGGACATCTTTCAAAATGCATTGTGAAATAAGACATAATACAGGAGAGTTAGATTGAATTTTTGTGAGGAAGAATCAATGGAACATTCACTACACTTTTTTTAAAAAGTTCCTTTCCTTGAGCTGACTTTTATTATGAAGGTATTGCCTAGAAGGAGTGACTGAGGCAGGAAAACAATCTGTGAGATGATTGCTAATATGAGGTGGACCAGGAGGGATATGAAAAGTATAGAAGATGCAGTGCTGCTAAGTTGAAAACTCTCTGAGAATATGAGGAGACCCTTTTTTGTCTCAATGCACAAAATTAATCACGATGTTTTTGTTGGACCAATGCCTAAAGAACGTAAGTGAGAAGACATATGATTCACTGAAATACATTAGTCAGGAAGACAAACTTATTTTGAAGACTTCCATGTAGATATGATGACTGTGATTGTAAGAGAATACTGTCTGGATTGTTTAAAATATTTCATCTTCCTCATCATTATTTTACATGTAGCAATTTGCTTGGTAATATGATGTCCTTATGGCAACTGTGGTACAACATTGCACTTAAGCAAAGAAAATACAGCTGAGTTTTGACACTATGGCTGTTATTTCTAACTACTCACACCTGCATATAGAAATTTTTATGGTATGTGTATATCTGTGTTTATAACATATATATATATATACACACAATAAATGTTTTTATAGAAAATACATTTTTCGTGTTCTAACAATTTGGGAAGGTTACCAAAGTAAGGATTAGAAAGGTCCCTAATTATTCAAGATAGATATATGGAACCAGATAAAATTATTTGTTTTGCAAAAGAGATGCTTAAACTGACTTGTACTGCTCAAATAGGCAGGACTTCATTACAAATAACCTTGAAAAGTGATTTGCTATTTGGACATCTTGCCATTTACTTGAAGTAGTTCCCATAGACCAAAATTTGTCTACATGTAATTTGCAGGATCAGAGCCCTCAAAATTAGCTAGGGATCCTTGAGTTTTCAACTTCAGATAAGAAGTAATAATCTACCTTTCACTTTCTTGTTAGACATCTTTTTCAAGAACGGATATGGTTTATTAAAGCTCACTGTAATGTTGCACTAGCAATGTTTGATTTATTTCTCATGCTTCATCACTGACTGGGTCACACGTTAGCTTACAGTCACTTGTCTTCACAGTGCCAGGGTTAATTCTGTGTATCAAACATGGCACCTATGATGCGAGAAGCAAACTATGATGAAAGAAGAAAGTAAGCTATTTCTTAAGGTATTCTTCTAATGTGTCCTTTTGTAAGCACAAAAAGAAGCAAAATTTAGTATTGGACGGTTTTTAGGATAGCTGATTGACTATGATTATGAAGTGTTCTGTAGTGATGGGGAATTTTTCCTTTAGGATCATCCTGAATCTCTTTCATTTGAGAGAACATCTGATTTTAGACGAAACAGCTGTTTCTTAAAGGAGACTGGCTTCCATCAAGATAAAAGTCAGTACCACCTTTACAAAATATGTAAAGGGAAATCCTCCCCTGATTCCCATCAGTTTCTGTAGATGTAGAGTTTCATCTGTAACCTCTGCTCATAACTCATCTGAGCACAACTTCTTGCACAACTTGGTAAGGTAATATATAAGCATTTATATATTGTCTTCTTGGGTTTTGCGACTGTTGAACTCTGAAGTGTTCCAGAAGGAGACCCGTTCTCGCCTTTCCGAAGGGGTACAGTCTCTTCACTCAGTTAAGCATCATGGTTGGCACCAAAAAGTAGGACTAACTTGCCTTTCACTCTTCTGCTGTCTCTCAATATTTCTTAATTTGTCATGAAAGTTGGGAATAATTGCATTTTATGATCTATCTTATTTTTGTATTTAACCTATAAGTAAATACCATTTAAATAATGAATTTTAGAAGCTACATGTAAATGCCATTTAAGCAGTGAGGATTATTTTAGTTCTCTTATGGCTGCAAGAAATGATTCAGTGAGGTACCATATTTTATGTTACTGTGCTGAAAAATATATTTATGGATATTTTTCCATTTCCTACATCTTACTGCTGCAAGGAAAGATAATGACAGACTTTTTTTTTTTTTTTTAGGGTTGCAGTTCAGTTGTAAAAGTTCAGCATAAGCTCATTTGGAGCTGGTTAAATGCTTAGGAGCAATCTGTCTGCTCTCACATAGAACTACCATTAAGGTGCCAGCTACAGTTATATTGAAACAGGCTCAGATGGCTTCATGTCCCCGCAGAGGATGGAGATTTAAACTTTGAAATAAAAAAGGCATAAAGATCTTCTTTAAGTAGAGGCTAGGTAAACTGGCAGCACTCTGTGGGAAGTGAATAATGGACAACTCTGTGTAGCAGCCACCATACTTGTAAATTTGAGCAATGTGTTTCTACTTTGGAGCAATTTCATTCATATATTTCAGAACACTGAAAAGGTCACCAGTTTCTACGTAGGCCCTCATTGTATATTCCTCATTCATCCAACACTCTGCTTGAGTTGAGGTTTGTGGAGCTGTACCTGTGAGAATCTGGAGGAAGGAGAACTATGGATACAGGAGGCAAACCTGGGGTGCTCCAGCAACAATTCTGTGAAGAAGGTTGGGCTATGTATCCAACTAGTATCAACATTCATAATTCAGTATTAAGGACCACGTTCTGACTACCTTTCTGATATCTGAAGAATGACACTATTAGTTAGGGAAAACAAGTGCAGTCAGAATCTGGAGTTGACTGATAATTAAATTTGATTAGAAACTGTAAAAATAGTTGACATGATAGCGACATGAGGATGTATGGTATAATGTCATTTTTAATGGATCATCGTAACTTGACACTGGTCTCTCAGTTTAACAGTAATTAACATCTCTTGACTGTATGTATTTGGCTGACAGTATGTCTCAATGTTATGTGTTAGGAATTGTAAAAGGTGCATGATTGTGCTGTTTCTGTTCAAGTTGTTTCTAATTAATAACTTCACTGTCCAGTGTTCTTTCAATAAGGGTACCTAATACAGTATTTACATTATTTTAGGTATAGAGAAACTGGCTTTTCAACCAAACTGAATGATGCATCTCAATATACAACAAGAGCATATGCATGTGTGTATATCTGTGCATGTATACACATACCCATATGTTTACTGGTTTAGACAAGGTCTCTCACTTCTTACCTGCTCACCTTGAACTTCTCAAATCTCCAGCATCTAGAAGGATCATGACTTTTCATGAAAACTGAAAGTCATGAATCTGGAGATTAATTAATATACACTCTTATTGTGATATTCACTAGAATTTCCTCTCTCCCTAAAATCCAGCACATTAAATAATATTAAATAAAGGTCTAATGACTAACAGATGCCAGATAATGCAGGATTCTTCTATCTGCACGAATGGCTTAGTGAGCCAAGTGACCGTGTCATTCTATCCCTTTGATCCTTTGGGTTCTTAGCCACTAAATTACATATATGGGTTTTTCTTCTGATTCCACAATATAAAGCATTTACCTTTCCTTTATGTTCTAAATATCTGCTATTGTTTCATGCCAGAAACATACAAAATATTGACCTTTGTGGGTCCTTGGACTGACCCAGCATAGTTGCTTTTCGTTTGTTAAATTCTGTAGTAGCTAAATTTTGACTATTTTTCTAGAGTCTTTATAACTTCTTTCAAGTAAGAGAGGAGTGGCTTTCAATAAAGTTTGAAGTTCAGCAATAAAAATATAAGGAATTTTTCAGGTTGTTAACTTATTAACTGGAAGACTATCTTTCTTTTAAGAGTTCAAATAATTAGAGAGAAAAACACTCTCAATATTCATACTAATTCCAGTGGGTTTTGTATAAGGTTTAATCTTATTTTTCAAATACTATTCTTAAAATATATTTGCAACATTAATTAAATGAAGAAAAGTTGGTACTAATTCTTAGAATAATTAAAATACTTCCAGTGTAATACATAAATTTTGATAGCAATGCACATACAAATCTCTTTTAGCTTAACAATATCAAGTAGCCAAAATGTATTTGGGACTGTGACAGGATTTGTGTGAGCTTTCTCCTTTGAAAGGATGCTCCTGACTTTGAATTTCAAATACTACCTTTTGTAGCAGGTGGACCAAAGTAATCCTTTTTTTTTTTTTTTTTTAAGCAAGCCAGATAATTGCATGTCTGCCTCACATTCAGTTAAATCTTTGGTGATGGGCTTTGAAGAGCGTGTTTTATATTTTGCTTTCTTTTGTTTGGGCTTTGGTTTTGGTTTGGGGTTTTTTTGGTTTGTTTTTTACTGTCAGTCTTTGCTGAGAAGTTCCTGATACCACTGTTAATAGCGAACTGTTCTTTCAAGGAAGCTTTGACAAAGTCTTTAGTTTTAAATAGAAACTGGGAAAGTTCAAAGCTACTGGGAGGAGAGTGTCTTCCTCCCTGTTGCCTGAGAATTAATATTTTTTTTATATGAAAGCAGAAAAATTCTTGATAGAAAAATCTGATGATGGCATGGTAGATTAAAACAACCTTATTTTGGTCTGAAAGTAATATACTGTTACACAGTAATATACTGCATTTATTGAATTGGGGTTGCTTGAGTATTTTTTCCATTGTTTTCCAAGCATCATTCTAAATATAATTTTCTGTTTGGTCACTACTTGGATAATGTGAATGGTACCCATTATTGAAAGGTAGTCTGTATTTGTACTAATACAGAGAATGCCAGTTTAGAAATGAGCCTGATTGCATGGTTCATTTTGTTCTCCTTTGTAGAGCCAGGCTGCGGCCCACTACAAAGGCACTAAACATGCCAAGAAGCTCAAAGCACTGGAAGCCATGAAAAATAAGCAGAAATCTGTTACTACCAAGGACAGCGCAAAGACTACCTTCACTTCCATCACTACCAATACCATCAATACCAGCTCTGACAAAACAGGTTAAGCGACAATCTTTGTTGGTTTTGTTTGTGGTTTTTGGTTTTGTTTTATTTTTTTTCCCTTGTTTAATTCCATGTCTGTTTGGTTCTGTGCTTGCCACATTGATTCATGCTCGATCCATCTTTCTGTGTGATATTGATTTCTTTTAGTCCTTTCAATAGGCTGGTGAGAGTATGATAGTCATGTAACCGATTTCTCTTAGTGAAAAGAGGCTTGTCATTCTTTTAGGAGAGAATGCAATACTCATAACTTGATTAATTTTTATAGTGGCTAAATTATTACATATCAACTGATCTAAAACTCCTAGTCTATATGCAGTATCTCTGTATAAATAATTACATATGGCACATTTCTTTTAAGCACAAACAAACAATGTAGCAAATTGCACTCTTGTGTCTAGAAGCCTCTTACAAAAGCATTGTCAGTAAAAACCTAATTTTCATAAATTTCAAACATTGCATTATTTTTTTAAAATGGCTATTGCATGGTTTTGAGCTGGAAAATAGTGTATAACCTCTATTCCACACCATCAGGTAAGTGCTATTGATGCCAATTATTCTGCTTAAATGAGTCTTCAGACTGAAATTATATCCTTTAAATTATTGTGTGGGTAAAAGGTACTCCTTTGCAAATAAAATCTATGTGAGTATTTGTTAAAGTCAACAGGATTTGATGAAGTTTGCATTTTAAATATATGGCTATTGTACTGGAAATTTCAAGGAAGGTTGTAAGTTCACTGAAGGGTAGTCTAGTATCTCACAAAGTATGACTGCTCTTGTGTTTGAAGGGATATAGTTTGCATATTTAGTCATAATCAACCCCCCTTCCACAAACCAGCCAAAAACAGCCACGGCAAAATCGCCAAAGCTGTGAAACTACAGAGACCTTTCTACGGATGCTGAAAACTGCTCATTTGGAACCACTTCTCATGTAGTAAGTTTAGCATTGTAAATGGATGTGCACTAACCAATTATAGTATAACAGAAAAGTACCTTGCAGACATATGTAGTACTTTCCTTAAGATACATCTTTGCTATATTTGTTATAAAGAGATACCTCTATGTCTCTCTCTCTCTTTGTGTCTTTGTTATAGCCCTTTGTTATAGATAGCATATGTTTTTACAGAGATTTATATCCTAATTATAATGGGATGGCTTTAAAAAACAATTGTTACATTATTTTCATGTTTGTTACCAGAAAAAAAAAAAAAAAAAAAAAAGGAAAATATTCTGAGTACTTTTGTTTCTGTGATGAAATGAAGCATGGGAGAATAGGAACAACATCGAAAGTTATTTACGAAAATATATGTATTTCTAATCATAAAAATACCTTTAGAAGTTTCTCCTGCTGTTACCTGTTGCCATGTTCAGAACAGAAAGGGGGATGTTGTATGGAAAGAGGGATTTATTGTTTACAAAATATGATCTAGAGGTTGGAGAAAATAACCGAAGAAAAACGCGTTCTTTTTAAGCTTTGAAATGTGTTATTCAAAAGCTTTTATCTTACACTGTGTAAGTTTGAAGGATTTTCCAAGGTGCCTTAAAATCAGTCTGAGTCTTTCCATCAGGCTTTGAATTAGACCCCTGACAAGATATATGAACTGTCTTGTATCCAAGGTCAGTAGTACATATCAGTTTTTATATTGGCATAAGTAAGAAAACATCAGAAATCTAGTTGCACACAAAAGCGATGGCCTAGACAGGAGTTTCCTCAGCTTTACACAGTTTGTGACTTCCTGGATTAATTTCATAGAATATGTGTATACATATATGTATGTACATGTATACATAAATGTTTTCTATGTTAGAAGTGCTGACCTTAATGGCATTCTAATGTTGATGTTAATTGACAAACCGACCAAAATCTTACAATTTTGCAAAATACTGAGAACCATATTCAACTGCTGGCAAAAGTCCTATTCAGCTGGTGGCATTCAAAGAGAGGCAGCCAGTTCTATCCAAATGCAGGTATTACAGGTCAGCATTGATGTGACTGGAAGTACAATAGCACTCTTGGTGTAAATTATCCTTTGTAGAATCAGACATGTATGCATAGAGAAAATTAAAAAGAAAAAAAAAAAAGAAGAAAATTTTGGGTAGCCAAAAGGATGAAATTTTCTGTTAAACATGATGAGATAAAAATTTCATCAATCATATTTTCTTTCTTTTCCAGTTGTTCTGTGTCTTATATTTGCTTGATAGAACTTTTAAGGGCAAAATGATTTCTGAAAGCCAGAGTAACATCAGAATATAATGCACTGTGTGAGTTTGCGCATTTGTAAATGATCGCTGTAAAAGTCAAATATTCTGATGGTAATATGCAGTTCTGAGGCAACAGTTATACTAATTAATATAATTCATTAATTAATCTTTCATAACTAGAAATAAGTTCTGTTACTAAGTCCCTGCACTTGCGAACATTCGGAACAAAAGCTTGCTCTGTGCTTTATAGTATTTTAAAGCTCTCTGCTGAAGATTAATACTTGATCCCAAATACACTGAGGATAGGGTCATGTTCATATCACCTCCAATATATCATGTACAGCAGTGGTTAAATGGTGAATTGCATGTCAGTCACAGCACATTGGTCAGGACTTCAGTTCACTGATCCTGTGTACCCTTAGCAGCTCCAGCAAACAAAATGTCATCAGGAAATCTGCAGTGCTATGCAATGAAGACTATAAAAAAACCCCACACAGTATACAAAGTAATTCAAGAGCTAAAGCAGCGATTTGTTATGTTGCTTATTCTGGAACTATTTTGTTAGATGTGGTGCCAGCATGTGTTATTGCAATAAATAATGGAGACTGTGCAATCCACAATGTAAGCAGACTCCTTAAAACCTTTCATAAATGATTCCCAGTGGTTAAACTATGTGTTAAGGAGAAAATATAAATTATGGGGTCATTTTGCTCATTCTGTGAAAGTCGCAGTTTTTTTCCCCTTTAAACAAACTTTTAGAATTATTAGAAAACTTGAACTTGAGAAATCTTTGAGGGAATGAAGAGTTATGTTGGCAGTCACATCATGAACAATGCCATTCTCAACATGTGGGAACTTTGTTACCAGCTCTATTGTTTAACATCCTTCTTTCATCTGTATTTACCGTTTCTTATGTGATACCTGTAGTCACTCAGGACAGAAAAACAGGAAGTGTGACCATTCCAAAGACAAACCGACTTTATGGTAGTATACAAGCCAGATTTCAGTATTTCTTGATTCTCCAATTCAGGGATGACAATAAAAATTCTTATTTTTACCATATATTAGCATATGTGCATTCATATTCCCTGACATATAATTTGTTAAATGTCCTTGATAGCTTTACAAATTGCCCATCCTTTCTGCCAAGGTATATTTTCCTCATAAAGATGCTTCACACCTTCACTTTGGCTGTAAGGACAGATACTTGAGGAATATCTTTCAGAATATATTTAGATAGACTTTGTTCTACCATCTTAACTATGTGTCCTGCCCAGTAAATTCATAATCCTGCACTTGGATTTTTTTAATCTAGAGTGGGTGTCCAAGACTATATCCATGTAAAAAGATATCCCTATAGTTGTTGCATATGTCTAAATATTGGTCTTTTCCAAAGCTATTTGAAATTAAAAAGGACTCTCTATGACCACATTATCACCAGTTAAGTCTTGAAGATTTGGGCTATTTTCATTTATTTATTTATTCAGCAGAGAATTCAGCACGAGTTAGATCATTTATTATCAATGGAGAAGAAGGGATAGACCTGTCCAAGGGGGGAAAACATGTCATTGGGAGCCATCACTATGGTAAAATCTTTAATGTTGTTTTTGAATGGTATACACTATATCTTAAATCCTGTGTACTTAAATGCAATGAACAGATCTTAAAAAGAGAGAAGGACGTGGTGAACAGAAAAAGTGTGTATCTGGGCTGAGGTACAGACAAGATCATCTAGCATTAGTACAGTCTTTAACAGCTAAGATACCCCCGTGCTGTCAGAGAACAAAGTACTGGTGTCTGTCCTAAAGCAGTTACTGTCTACACATAAGATGAGAGACAATTTAGGGAGATAGACACTGTTAATGTAATAGGCAGGTGTTCTAAAAGAGCAGTAGCATAAACATGTTCAAGTGATGAAGTCATCACAAGATATGAAAACACTGCAGTATGGGTTAGAAGGAAAAGGAGCTTTTTCAGATACTGAACGTTTGCATGGGTAACAGCATGGGAGAAAGCAGAAGTTCTCTGATTTTTCTTTCACTGGCACATATGAAAATTCTTCTCTGTGGGAAAATTTTAGTTGCACTACCCCTTTCCAGTCCTTTTTTTTTTTCTTTTTTTCTTTTTATCTCAGAAGTGGTAGGATATTTCTGGTCAGCTGATAACACTTGCTCCTGAAATAACAAGTGCAGTCCAGCTGGGATAATTCTGAAATGGAGGGCAGGTGGAGTGGGAGAGAGCAGTCAGTCTGGCAAGGTCTTGGGCATAAAAAAGGAACACAGGAAGGAGAAAAAAATCAGAAATTATGTGGTAAGTCAGGGTAAACTTTGAAGGAGGAAGAAAGGAAGATGGCATGAAATGGAGTAGTTCAGGAAGGTATCTTGGAGTTTGGCAGCCACAAATACCACGGGATCACAGAATTTTTGAGCTTCTGTGAAGGGACCTCAAAGGGACATCTGGAGATTGACAAGGCCACCCACACAAGTCAGAGCAGAGTCAGCTAGAGCAGGATGCTCGGTATCTTTTTCAGTTGAATTTTGAGTATCTTCACAACCTTTTCCTAAGCAACCCATTCTACTGTTTGGCCACCCTCAGAGTAAAGAAGAGTAAAGAAGTTTTTTCTTGTATTTAAGTCCAAACTCCTGTATTTCAGTTTGTGCCTGTTGTGTCTTGTTCTGCCACTGAGCACCACTGAAAAGAGTCTCTGGCTCTCTTTTTGACTCCCTGCCGCTGACCCCATCAGGTATTTATACACACTGGTGGCTTATGCTTCAGGTGGTGTCCACCAGGATCCCAGG